TAATATTTATATACGGCAAATAAAACAAATAAACTCACACACCCTCTTCACCTTTGATGAGGTTTGAACCCTTGCCCTTCTAGAAGGCCAAAGACTCACATACCGTTAGGCCAAAGGCCATTTGGTAACTCAACCCAAATGTTTGTGGTTTGAATTAACCCAACCTAACCCAACCCGTACGGGTTGGTCGGGTTGATACTTTGGTACATTAAAATATTCTTCTAACCCTGAATATGTTATTTCTCTACTCATAATTTTTTTTTTGATTAACCTGGATATCCAACCCGCTATGCGAGCCAACTAATCCCACGGCAACCACTTGCTTTGCAGGTAGCCTGGAGTCACCGCATTTGAACCTCCATGGCCACAAGGGGATTTTTGTTTATTTTTGGATTTGAACCTGGAACCTCCAGACACTTTTGACCTTTGGAGCCAACTCAAACCAATCAGGCACCACCCTAATTTCCTTTTCATCATCAACCATTTGATACAACTTATTCATATTTCTTACGTATATCACATTTAGTTAATTTTCTCAATTTACATATATATATATATATATATATATATGTTCACAGTCACTAAACATATATACGAATGAGTTATATAGAGATGTGAATAGATTGAAGATATGTGTATATGAATAGCATACATGATAGTGTAATTGTCTAATGTATATATTAATAGAAATTCAACAATCATATTAAATCCAATAAATAAAAAGATATCGGGTTTATCGGGTTGGGTTGAGTTCAAAGAGTAGTAGCCCAATATCAACATAATACCTACGGTTTGACAATTTTACAAACTCGATTAGACATTAGGTTGCTTCGGGTTGAGTTATTCGATTTGGGATGGGTTGATCGGGTTGGTCAGGTTGGTCGGGTTTTTAAGCACCCCTAGTTGTATGAATGTGTTGGTGTTCTAACAGTCGAGATGGTCTATTTAATTTAAATCATTGCCACTGTTTTTTGTTTATGTGTTACTCGTATAAACTTTGTATTACATAGCGTTTATGCTAACACGTTTTACGTATGCAGCTCAAGAGTCAGTCCGATGTAGAAAGAAATAGTAAAAGCTCATAATCAGCTATATATTACATGTTAAGTGATATTTCCACACGGATAGTTAAGACGCAATGTTTTGTCTTCATTAAATATCGTAGGTCAATATTAAATGTTAAGTGATATTTCCACACGGGGTACGGGTATGGCCCTCATTTGCCAACTTTCTACTCTTGAACCAAGGGGGAAGTTCAAGTCAATGAAAAACTTTAACGTCTTTCCGTCATTATCATCAATTACAAATTCGACTAGAAAAAAGTGTTTTATCCAATAATGAATGACGTAAATTTGTACCCGATCAAAATTGATTTTATCAGTTATCYGATTTATATCTTCATCCAGWCATATTCAGGTGTTAGATATCACGGTGTGATGACACTATTATATAAAAACAAATTTGAAAACTTTTACAAGATCCTAAAAACACGTAAAAAAGAATTAGAATATCTAAACTTGATTTTCGTCGTCTTCACAGTGATCTTCGTCTTCTTCGTTGTGGTTAAAATCGTTAAATTACGATCATCATCATCGTCAAAATTTCTAGATTTATCGAGAGTTTTTGTCTCGAAACTAACTTTTTATAGTGATTTATCGTTAAATATGAAGACGAAACGACAATTCATTAAAAATTGCGTGGACAAAAAAGCTGAATTATAGATCACATGATTACTTCATAGTTTTTAGTATAAATTTGTGGTTTTTTATTATGATTTTATTATTTTTGTTGTATTTTTAATTGTAGTTTATTTTCTTGATTATATACAATTAAATTATAGTTAAATATTTTAAAAGTCGCCCATTATTTATCTATACTATATTAGAAAGCATTTGATAAAAACTCTTAAAAACCATTTTTTATACATGAAAGTACTATTTATTGACGCATATTACTAAAAACTTCAAGATTACAAGTAATTATTCATAAGTATAACTTATTAAAGCTTCATCTTTGAATTCGTGTAACTAACTAGCGGATAAACATAATTAAATAGAGAATAAACATATCATTTTAAAATATAAAAATTTCTAAAATATAACTAGAATTATTATCAAGTTCTAACAAAATAATTAATTATTATCTTTATAAGAAAATTATATTATTAAGGCAACTATAAATTACTTCGTTATTGAACTTAAATTAAATCATAATAAAATTTTGAATTAAAAAATTACACAAAATATGGAAAATTTTAAATAGTTAATTTGATATTAATGATCGATATATTTTTTGGCAAATTTTTATAATATCTTCAAATTTATATTTTATTAAAAATTAAAAATATCATCGCTTTTTCAAAATCAAATAAGACCATATTTTAATATTGACTGAGATAAATAATAAAATAAAATATCAAAATTAAGATGTATCTCACTGCATTGCATTAGTACCCTTCCAGTGACATATATGATGTGTTTTATTTAAAGTAAACTACAACCTTGGTCCCTGTAGTTTGTCCCAAATAACACTTTCGTTCTTGCCGATTTGAAATCGCAAAATGGTCATCATGGTTTGCAAAAACGTCTGGATTTGGTGTCTCTTTCCAACAGTCTTTAAATTTTTTTGTTAAATGGGGAACATTTTCACCATTTTGTTCACTTTTTTTTTTTTACCCAGTCGAAATCAATTTTATGAGTTTGGTCACTCTGATTTTTGATTGGGTTAAAGTCAAATAATTGATAAAAAAAAAAAACAAAAATATTCTTCATTTAATGAAAAGTTTTAGCGACCGTTAAAGGGAGGGACAAAATTTATGCTTTTTACAAACCATGATGATCATTTTTGTAATTTTGAAACTTTAAAGACAAAACTTGTTATCTTTAACAAACCACAGGGACCAAATTACTTACCCGATAAGCATATACCAAATAACTCACTCTTTTATTTAAAACAACTAAACCATATTTAATATATGAGTTATATGGTAAAATTAAGGGGTCATTTACCTAATTGCTTACATGGTAAGCATTTACCATTATAAATCAACACTATAATTTATTTTATCAGGTAATATTGTAGTATATCAAAATAGTATCATATGCAATAATTTATCCGGTAAGCACTTGCTCGGGTAAGAGTCGTCATCATCCCTTACCGAGTAAGACTCTCCATCTTTATCATTGTTTTTTACCAGGTAACATTTTTGACCATTTTCATGTTCATCCGGTAAGAAAAATTATCCGATAAGCACTTACCAGGTAAGTGTCGAGCAAACGACTCTAAAATATAAATTAAACTTATTTTCCACAATAATAATAATAATAATAATAATAATAATAATAATTAAAAAAAATGTTGTTAGGTGGGGTCCGCATGGGGGAACAAACGCACTAATAGGTTTATTCCATGTCCCTCTTAAAACATAATTATAACTATAGAAAATAGAGCCCGACCTAAAAAAATCAGAAAATCATGAAAAATAAATAAAAAATATATCAATATAAATATTAATTTTATAAATATATTATATATTGTAAATAGAATAAATAAACTTACACATCCTGCTCACGATTGATGAAGTTTGAACCTCTGACACTCTAGGAGGTCAAAGACTCACATAACTATTTCTCGGTGTGATTTGTTCCGCTGTAATTTTGGTTATATTTCATCAGTTTTTGGATCATCTCAAAATAACGATAGAGGTAAGTTGTCCAGATGTTTTTTAAGGTTTTCTTCTGATATTTTTGGATATGTGAACTGTTTTTCCTTCTTTTAGGTTTGGTATGACCGGGAAAGTTCCCTCCATTAATAATGTAGTTTCACCGCTCACAAGAAAAGAAACAATGAGTTCATTCTTTAATTCTTGATACTGTGACTGAAAGAATACCAGATTTGGTACAAAATGTGAACTGTATGAATCGGGTAAATATGGGACCACCCACGTTTTATCGATTTCTATTGATCTTTTATTTATATGTTAACAAAAATAGATTTGTAATAACATAATTATTTGTTGGTAGAGCACCTCATTTACACGTGTGTCGATGTTTTGTAGGGCAGTCCATCATACAGTTAAAAAAATTTGATCTGTGATACCATAGAGTAACGACTGTAAACTAAAGTGTCTTGACCAATTTTAAAGATAATTTAAACCGCGTTTGTTTTTAGAAAAAGATCCTCTTAATAACCTCTTATCATTTATTCGGTAAGAGATTAATCAATTCAAACTGTTTGTTTTTCTCCTTTTCCAGACCCTTTTATCATTTATCTTCCTCTGATAGAATAAGAGGTGCGGGATTGTTTGTTTACCTCTTAATAGTTCAATTAAGAAGCAACCTCTAAATTGTTAAAAGATAAATCTTGTTTGCCAAAAAAAATGTCTCTTAATGGTTCTAAAACCTTCCGAATGATTTTGTATTATAGGTCTCTTTTAACCATTAAGCACCCTAATTTCATTGTAAACAATTATCAAACAATTATATTTCATTTTGCATTATATCATGAGTGTTTTAATCATTTTGACCACTTAATCATTTTGCACCAGACCATTCAGCAACGAAGATGAACCACATCAAACGAAACCTATAAATTGCAAAAAAGAATCACACCCCAATTACAATAGTTTTCATTTTGTCTTCATTAAGTATCGTAGGTCAATATTACATGTTAAGTGATATTTCCACACGGGGTATGGGTATGGCCCTCATTTGCCAACTTTCTACTCTCGAACCAAGGGAGAAGTTCAAGTCAATGAAAAACTTTAACGTCTTTCCGTCATTATCATCAATTACAAATTCGACTAGAAAAAAGTGTTTTATCCAATAATGAATGACGTAAATTTGTACCCGATCAAAATTGATTTTATCAGTTATCTGATTTATATCTTCATCCAGTCATATTCAGGTGTTAGATATCACGGTGTGATGACACTATTATATAAAAACAAATTTGAAAACTTTTACAAGATCCTAAAAACACGTAAAAAAGAATTAGAATATCTAAACTTGATTTTCGTCGTCTTCACAGTGATCTTCGTCTTCTTCGTAGTCATCTTCGTTGTCGTCTTCTGCGTAGTCATCTTCGTTCTCGTCTTCACAGCGATCTTCGTAGTCATCGTCGTTGTCATCTTCTGCGTAGTCATCTTCTTCCACACTTGTTGGGATCCAACAATATAAGGACTTTTTTGTTTTTGGGGAGGTATGATGTTGAGAGAGAGAGTCAATTGGTCGAGAAAATTAAGAAAAAACAGATAATAGAGGATAATTATGTCATATAACATTATTATTTCAGTTCCTTTTTAGATTAAAAACGGTATGTTGATTAAAACAGCTGAATTACAGATGTTACATGGATTTGGGTATGATTGGTTCTCAAAAAATGTTATAACCCCTTTTTTGTTGCATCTCTTTAATCTTTTTAGCTACTGAAATGTAGTTTATTTCCTTGATGACAAATATACAGCTAAAATTATAATTAAAGACAAATAAAACGAGTCAAGCGTTTTTAAAGTCACTCAATGTTAATAGCATAATATATCAGTTATGTTAAAGCTACAAACATAGTAACACGTTTATTAACGTCCCCTATACGTATAACTACAAAATACAGGGAAAAAGGGTTTAAGTTTGAAGAGAGTTTTATTTTAATTACAGCTTAAACTTTAGAATTGTAATTCAAAGTTAATTAATCCAGTGTCTACGAATCGTTATATTACGATCATCATGATCGTCAAAATTTCTAGATTTATCGAGAGTTTTTGTCTCGAAACTAATTTTTGTCAGTGATTTATCGTTAAATATGAAAACGAAACAACAATTCATTAAAAATTGCGTGGACAAAAAAGCTGAATTATAAATCACATGAGCAAAAAAAGTAATAAATTATTAACTACAGAGCTGAAAACTGGAATTTATAATATAGAAAGACGAAAATAGTAAATTATAATATTCACGAACAAAACCACAAGGGTGGTGTCTGATTAGTTTGAGCTTGGCTCCTAAGGTCAAAAGTATCAGGAGGTTACATGTTCAAATCCAAGGAGGATAATAATCCCCTTGTGGCCACGGAGGTTCAAATGCGTGACTCCGGACAATCTGCAAAGCAGGTGGTCGTACTGGGACTAGTCGGCTCGCATAGCGAGTTGGATATCCAAGTTAATTAAAAAAAAAATTAAGGGGTTATTTTCCTAATTGCTTACTCGGTAATCCCTTACCATTAGAAGTCAACACTATAATTTATTTTATCGTGTAATATTGTAGTATATCAAAATAGTATCATATGCAACAATTTATCCGTTAAGCACTTACTCGTATAAGAGTTATCACCTTCACTTACCGAGTAAGACTCTCTATCTTTATCATCGCTCTTATCAAGTAATATTTTTTACCCTTGTTATGTTCATCCGGTAAAAAAATTACCCGATAAATACTTATCAGGTAAGCGTAGAATAAGCCACTCTAAAATATAAATTAAACTTATTTTCCACAATAATAATAATAATAATAATAATTAAAAAAAATGTTGTTAGGTGGGGTCCGCATGGGGGAACAAACGCACTAATAGGTTTATTCCATGTCCCTCTTAAAACATAATTATAACTATAGAAAACAGAGCCCGACCTAAAAAAAATCAGAAAATCATGAAAAATAAATAAAAAATATATCAATATAAATATTAATTTTTTTAAATATATTATATACGGTAAATAAAATAAATAAACTCACACACTCTGCTCACATTTGATTATGTTTGAACCTCTGACGTTCTCGAAGGTCAAAGACTCACATAACTGTTTCTTGGTGTGATTTGTTCTGCTGTAATGTTGGTTATATTTCATCAGTTTTTGGATCATCTCAAAATAACGATGTAGGTAAGTTGTCCGGATGTTTCTTAAGGTTTTCTTCTGATATTTACTCTATTGTATTTGGATATGTGAACTGTTTTTCCTTCTTTTAGGTTTGGTTTGACTAGGAAAGTTCCCTCTACCGATAATGTAGTTTCCTGCTCACAAGAAAAGAAACAATGAGTTCGTTCTTTATTCTTGATATTGTGACTGAAAGAAAACCAGATTTGGTCACAAAATGTGAACTGTGTGAATCGGGAAAATATGGGACCACGCACGTTTTAGCGATTTCTATTAATCTTTTATTTATATGTTAACAAAAATAGATATGTAATAACATAATTATTTGTTGGTAGAGCACTTCATTTACACGTGTATCGATGTTTTTTAGGGCAGTCTATCATATAATAATTTTTTTTTTGATCTGTGATACCATAGAGAAATGACTGTAAACTAAAGAGTCTTGACCAATTTTAAATATAGTTTAGGGGTCGTTTACTAAACATTTATCCAGTAAGTGTTTAGTGGTTAATTTTCCTTATCAGATGAATATGGCAAAGGTCAAAAATCTTACCCGGTAAGAGCGACGATAAAGATGGAGAGTCTTACTCGGTAAGTGAGTGTGACGACTTTTACCAGGGTAAGTGCTTACAAGGTAAATTGTTGTATACGGTACCATTTTGATGTACTACAATCTTACCCGGTAAAATAAATTATAGTGTTGACTCCTAATGTTAAGCGCTTATCAGGTATGCATTTAGCAACAAAGATGAACCACATCAAACGAATCCTATAAATTGCAAAAAGAATCACGCCTCAGTTACTCTAGTTTTCTCTGTAGTCTGCTTACTGCTTTCGTTATCATATTTTATCTTTCATCAATTCCAATTATTTTTGCTGATGAAAAAGTGGGTTGTCATGAGTTTACTGTTTCCCTCTGAAAGCTATACTTATAGAAGCTATAAGTATAGAAATCTCGAACCATTTTCTTTTGTTTTCAACAAGTTGTTTGAAACAAACTTTTATACATGGTGAACTTTTTAATTGGTTTGAATTCAGAAGCATAAAGTGATGAGTTTATTAATAGAAACAATTTAGAATTGGTTTTAAGAAATTGTCTGAAAAAGCTCTTATACAGATTCTGACGTTTATCAGTTTATAAAAACAAACAATCTTATTGATTCCGCTTTCAGACTTCAGCACCACCTCTTATCGATCAGAAATGAAATAAGACTTTAGACATCACCTTATCTTAATGTAGTTGAAATAACTGAATTTGGGTTATTCAATCATTATCTATTTATGTTTTAATGAATATAATCGTGAGTAGATGTGAATAAAGAATCGGTTAACCGATTTTGGATTAGTATGAACTAAGGAGCGGTCTTAAAAAGGACTGATTCGATAAGGCCAGGCCCAAAGGCCGGTTATATGTGAAAGCCTGTTTTGTTCCTAAATTTTACACATAGGACAGGTCTGTGAGTAGAGATTGTCAAAAATCGGCTCCGGAAAAGGCTCGTCCATTCCCAAGTCGGACCCTTTAAAATCGAGACGACCGGTCTCCGTTGCAACCAAATTCTAAGACTAATCTAAGCCTAGTTCCGATCTCGGTCCCAACCCTGTTTTTTTTACCTGGGTAAGCGTTTGAACTGCCCCTAAGTTTTTTATTCCTATTTTCAAAAGATAATATTTTATATTATTATATCGATATTTAACAATCTTATAATATATAAAAATAAAAACTTAAAATAAATCATTTATTATTGATGGTAATTAAGGTTTAGTTTTTAATGCATATGAAATTAATGGGTAATTAAAGGGGTGTTTAAAATTGCTTAATTATTAATAAATAATAAAGAAAATCAAGAGTTTTTTTAACGGAAAAGAAAATCAAGAGTCTTTTTTTTTTTAAATGCAAATTTTATTTAAAAAAACATAAAACGAGACGATTTTTATCCCAAAATTAAAAGAAAATACAAGAAGTCGAGCTTAATTTGAACCTGGCTTAATGCTACTACAGCTTTTACGTTCACGGAGGTCTCTGTAATGACTTAATACCGTTCATAATCAATCAGACGAACTCAACGACAATTAGAATGACTTCCGCTAAACTCCTTACCACATTTGTAACAAAAATGATACCCGCACCTGCAAATGCAACAACATCTTGTTATAAGCCCATCCAATATGATAATATAAAGAGATACGCTAAACGTGCCCCTTGTATTACTAAACTAATCGTATTTACGCTAAGATTTCGTTAAGACATTATGAGTTTCATAAATCCAACTGTTTGCAAGTGACCGCTATGATAAATCAACCCGATTGATAATATCACATCAACAATTTTTTCCGTTCGATGTGACGGAATTTACATAAAAAAATTGTTGGATATAATTTCTAGGAGCATTTCCAAAAGGTTTACAGGGTCGAGAATTCGTTAAAAATGCTCTTAATAAAAAAATTGCTAACGTTACGAATCAAAATCACAAGAAATACTACAACAAAATCGGGTTTATAGGACACTCTCAAATTCTAAGTGTCTTAAGGACTTAGTTTATATGAACAAAAAAAATAAAGTGTCCTATCTAAAGGTGTTGTAATAAGTT